GACAGTCTTGTTCAGCTTTTGCCAAGTTTTCTTCAATTAACTAAGAAAAAATTGTACATTTCAGAAACAAGGTCAGACTATATATAATTATGGCATATCCACTTAATGTATCCAGGGCAGCTGCTTGTAACTCTCTGGGTGCATTCAACCACCTGTGGGTGTTTAAAACAAACTGATGTCTAGGATCCACCACAAATCAACTAAATAAGTCTCTGGGGTGGCTGGGCATTGGTCCTTTTAGAAAGCTCTTCAGCCTGGCCATAGTGGCTCAGTTGGTGCACCGAAAGGTTGCTGGTTCGATTCCTGGTCAGGCACGTACCCGGGTTGTGAGTTCGATGTCTGGTCGTTTATAGAAGGCAACCTATCGATGTTTTTCTCTCTCTCTGCCTTCCTCTCTTGAAGCATGTCCTTGGGAGCAGAGGGGGGGATCTTCAGGTGATTGGAATGTATAGCTAAGGTTGAGAACTTCTAGGCTAAGGGATAGGTGGGATTAAACAATTTCATGTTTCAACCCCTTGAAAAGGAGTCAGGAGAGCCCATTCTTACGGACTGGACAAAAATCTTTAAGGAAAAAGATGGTAGGAATATTGTAGGGTTATCAGCCAGGAACTGTTGCAGAACAGAAGGTAAGAAACTCCTACACTATTCGCGGCTTCTGCCAGGCCCTGCCACCAACCCACTTAGCATTCTGTCTAAGGGATAATAGAGAACATTCTTTTGTGAAGATCTCATATTCCATTTCACTTCATTTAAGCCAGAATTTCTCCACAAGAAATTTTATAAGTTTGGGAAATTTTCTTAAAGAGTCACAATGTACTATATCCTCAAATTTGGCATGAAAAACAGTATGACAGAATTTCCAATATTATTTGTCACCTTCCATTTTACTGAATAATAGTTATTAATATTTAGAGAATATACTTTGAAACTACTGGCTTATATGTCAGGTAGGGACCTGATATTTTGTCACTAAATCTACTCAGGGACAATATCTGAGACCATAACATAGTAGGATACTACAATTTTAAAGTTATTCTTTCCTTTGTATTTTTTCCTAAGTCGTAAAATTCTCAGAGCACAAAACACATGTATATGGCTGTCAAAGAAATAACTGCAAATAAAATGTGAGATTCTAGAAACTATGCTAACTGAAGCAATGACATGGATTCTTTCTTTTACAATGAGGGCGGACGGAAATTCCTCCCTTTATGTGTACACTAAATTGAACACATTTTTACCTTTTGGGCTTTTTGGTTCTGTGTTTGATCTGCTTCTATCAGTCTACGAAATGAGCGTTCTTCAAGATCCACTTTTCGTCTATAGGCATCTATATCTTCTCTCATTTCTTTTGCAACAGTTTCTTGATTTCTAGTAAGATTCTGTTTAAAAAACCATTTGTTAAAAAAAATCACCAATCGGTGTAACGTTCGGGCTCCGTCTCAGGGGCTGAAGTTTGTGAGGTGCTGTATAGAACTCCGTTTGAGCTAGCCTCCTTTTCCTGAAGAATGGTCTTCTCTCATCTTTTGCAACAGTTTCTTGATTTCTAGTAAGATTCTGTTTAAAAAACCATTTGTTAAAAAAAATCACCAATCTATACTAATGCTAGAATACAAAAATGACTTTCCTTTTTTCCAGATTTCTAATATGCACACGAATAAAAACTGTAGTCATCTAATTTTCAAAGTAAAAAACAAACATCAGTGACATCAGTGAAAATAAAAGAATAAGGAGCTCTGAGAATTCTCTCATCCACAGGAGCACTGAGAACCCTGGCAAAACCAGCTTTTTCGAAACTCCGGAAATTAACTGAAGGCCCGCAGCAATCTGGGAGCACTTATCCATGGCTGAACCTTGGTAAGAACAGCAAGCATTATGGCCTTTTTAGCTTTAATTATTCCTATGTCCACCCCAACCCTAAGCTCTACATTAGCCTGGAAAGCCAGCAGCCTGGCAGCCAATGGAGGGGGCAACTGGAGTTGGCGCTCCTGCAAACTCCCATTCCCAGAGAACTGTCATCACCTGACCTGTCAATGGTTCTGAAAGACCCCCCTCCCAAGGCTGTCTTTACTAGTATTTGACCTGACACGGAACTCAACTGCTTTGTCCAGCCTTTTTCCTGGGGACATTTGCTAAAAACTATCAGGGGAAACTGTTGAATGTATTGGCTGCCTGAGGCAATGGATCTGAGTTAGTATAAACAGGCTAATCAAAAAGCTTTATAGAAAAAAAAGGAAAGATGGAACTGATGTCCACAGGGGGCTTTGAAAAGCTCTGATAGATCCTGGGACTCTAGAAGGCCATGTACAAGTGTAAGGCTGGGCACATGCCAAGGGCTATATGAATGCTCAGACCTCAGAAGTTCCTAAGCTGTCAACTCTGGTGAACTGAGGCTTTGCACAACCAGAAAGTAGAATCTAAGGCAGAGTTGTAAACTATGTAAGTGTGCCAGGGCCACCAACACGATGTACACAGAGTCCCTTGGCAAAGAGGCTTACGGGTTCAAAGCATCTAAGGAAATATCTGTCCAATCACTAAGCTACCTGAGGAGGGACTGAAGTGGCTACATATGACAAAGACTGAAAACAACCCAAATATCCATCAACTGATGAACGAATCAACAAAATGTGATCTGTCCATACAATGGAATATTTATTATTCAGCCGTAAAAATAATAAAGTGCTGACTCAAGCTGAATCTGAACCTTGACTGAACCTTGAAAACATTATGCTACCTGAAAGAAACTGTCACAAAAAATCACAAATTGTAAGATTTCATTTATATGAAATGTCCAGAATAGGTAAATACAGAGACAGAAAGTAAATTAGTGGTTGCCAGGGCAGAGAACAGGAGTGAGTGTTAATGGTACAGGTGGTGGGGGTGGGGGTGGGATAGTAAACAGTATTAAAGAAGATTTAAGCTGAAAAAGCAAATTACCAATTGTTTGTAGCAAATAACCTCACTCACCCTTATTGATGATAGTTAGCAGTTATTTTCTAACAGAGTTTTTTCTACTTTTCTAACTCTCTATTTGCAGAATAATTACCATATTATTAGTTTAAAATAAAAATGTTTTTCAATTATAAGCAGAGAAGATATATGTATGAAGAAGTTGATTGCCAAAAATTCTAAACCACTTAAACTACCAACAGAAGAAAAACAGTTTAAGTTATGGCTCATTAAAGCCACTACAAATGATAACTACAAAGATATGCAGAATTTAGAAAAAAAGTTTGATTAAGCAAAAAATAAAAGCAATGAACTGTATATTCAGACATTTTTGCTACCTTACAATCCTAGATGACACTATGTTTTTCTTAAAAAACACACAAAAAAACACATTAAAAAACAATGAAAAATACAGTCTAAAAAGAGTTTGTATGAACCCTGTTTTTCTTATATTGGAAATAGCTGATTTATACCTTCTCATAAAGTCTTTTTTGTGATTCAAGTTCCAGATGTCTCATTTCTAGGTCTTTGGCTGTGGTAGCAATTTCTTGATCTCTCATATTTACCTACATTCAAAGAAAACCATAAACTGTGAATACCAAAAAGAATTTACAAAATAATTTTTGTTTACTAGATTTAGTAATCTTTTAATCTGAACAACCCACTACAAGTGTTTAAAATAACAGCTACTGGGTTTTTGAAACCAGAGTAATTGATATTATATTAACATTCACTGTGGAATCTACGAATAATGTCGGAGTTAAAATTAAGCCTGATTTTCTAAAAAAGAAAGCACAATTATCATATGCTCATCCCATACTGGGAGAACAGATGACAGTTTTTACCATATTACATTAGCCAATATTCCAAGTTAGTAAAACTTGAGCAATTTAAATTTGCAGTGGATAAAAATATAGAATGTTTAATCACCAAAGATACTGGTCAACCTAATTTTCCTGGCATTTCTAAAATATTTAACCATGATGAAATATATGAAAGAGAATGAGAATAGCTGAGGGAAAAAGTCAATTAAGTTAGAGGGGCTATTTAGCATTCATTGTGAGCTCCAGAGGTAATATTTAACTTAAAGGTGTTCATTACATTTAAATGAAACTAAATGAAGAGGATGCATGAGTACTAAAAATACTAGATAATAAACCTTTCTCTCAATCTCATCATCCAGTCTCCTCAGTTCCATTTCCTTCTGATCTTGCTGAAGCTTCAGCAAACGCCTTCTTGTGGCATCCTGTAAGTGCATTTCCTGTATTTTCAGCTCCCTTTTCACAGCAGCTAGTCTTAAATACAAAATGCGGGGGGGGGGAGGGGGGCCGCAAAAATAGGGTTACAGATGTTCACATGGAAAGTCATACAGATTATATCAAGAGGAACAAGTAAAAACATTTCCCAATATAGATTTAAATGGAAAAACATTACATTTCACAACAATGAAAGGCCTGCCACCTACTTAGGTCCACTTCCCAATTTCACTGGTGCCACTGCATCCAGCTTTGTTTACAGTATATAAATGAAAGATGCCCAGTTACAAGTCTGCACTCATGGAAACGACAAGTGTCCACATGACAAGTCTCCTTCTCATATGTAATGTTCTTCTTAAGCTTTACTACTCACTTCCTCTTAATGCAAGTGATATCTCTATCTCAAAAAGTGCTCCGATGTTACCAAAGATTATACTTATTCTCTTAGAATTTTAGGAGAAGGCTAATAGCTTAGCTCGGTAGCTCTTTTTAACCACATTAGAAATCTGTTTCATAAAATCACTCCCAAGAAAAAGGATCATCTTAATTAATTTCAACATTTTACCTTTAAGCATTTAATACTTCTTCCCCCGTCCTCAAAGTAGGAAATGCATGATGAGATAATCATTGTATGTTTCAATTTGCAGGTCACGTAGATATATTTAAAACATAATTTTAAAAATTATGCTCCATCAAAGGTAATTTATCCAGAACAGTAATACAGAGCATTTCTGTCCATTGTAGAATAATGTTTCTAACAATGTCCTCCCAGGCACATAGATCTTGTATTATTCTGAATAATCAGTGCAGTTATATCATAGTCAGGATACCTTTAGAATTACACTTGACTATATTACATTTGAAAAGTGGTATCTATACAGATTTCTTTTTATCAACTTAAATATTTGCTTAATGGAAATACCACAGTGGGTCATGACACATATAGTGCTGTTCCTATAATGAAAAATGGGAAAAAAAATTGTTCAACTAACTTGTATGCCCAAACGTTTCCAAGCTGATAAAACATACCTCTGTCTTTGCTGTAGCATCTTCTCCTCCTCGTGCAGGAGCATTTCTCTCCTGGTTTCTTCAGCTTTATGGAGTAGTTCTTGTTTTTGGCACCAAGCTTCATCTTCAGCTCGTTGTTGGTCCACTTCAGCTTGCATATTCTTAACCGTCTGCCTTAAGTAGGTAATATTTATTATTATGTGAAAATCAAACAAGAAAACTTAAGTCCAAGAACAACCAAAACACAAAATGCATAACTGATAATACTAGTATATAATTGCTTTACTTCTATATGTAAGAATTAAATATCGTTAGAGATATCTCCAGCCTTCAAATGGAAATTTTACACAAATACATAATCATGTACATGTATTTTTCATAAAAACTTTTCTTGTTTATAGTTATAATAGATTTTGTTTCTATTGAAGAACAACTTTCCCATGATTACCTCTCTCGTAAGTAATCCAATTCATCATTCCTTATTCGTTCCCGTTCCTGTGTCTGATAGTCCACAATGAACTTGGGATACTGGTTAAATACTGGATACTGGCCTTTTGTCAGTGCCACAAAAGCACTGAGCATACTCTCTGGATGAATGTCAGCAGGTGTGGTATCCATGAGATGATAAACTTCTCTAATTACAACACTTATGTCCAGGTTATTCCGATGGTGAAAGAAGTACTGTAAGAAAAATTTGTGTTTAAATCGAGATTTACCTAACAAAGCATTCACAGGTAGAATTAAAATGGGAGTTTAAAAATGTAACTATAGCCCTAACCAGTTTGGCTCAGTGGATAGAGCGTTGGCCTGCGGACTGAAGGGTCCCAGGTTCGATTCCGGTCAAGGGCATATACCTTGGTTGTGGGCACATCCCCAGTAGGGGGTGTTCAGGAGGCAGCTGATCAATGTTTCTGTCCCACTGATGTTTCTAACTCTTTATCCCTCTCCCTTCCTCTCTGTAAAAAATCAATAAAATATATTTTTTTAAAAGTAACTATAAATTCATCATGAAGAGGATTTCTTTTTTCAAATTCACTGAACCTTTCCTTAACCCAAATTCTAAAATGAAGATCCAATTTTATATTTTCAAAATGTAAAAAAATTTAACCACCATATTACACACTTTCAAAATAACACTTTAAAATATTAATTCAAAATGAAGGCTTCTTAAATAATAGAAGAATACTTCAATAATGGAACAAATGCTTCTACTTGGATTTTATTCCTTCAAAATGCAAAATAAATAAATGGGGGGGGGGGAATTAGCCTTTGAAAAGAAATTAGCTTGATTTTTTTAAAAATCTGAAAAATTTTCACATTATCTTGTTCTGCTGGCAGATCCAAATTCATACAGGATGGGGCAAAAGTAGGTTTATAGTTGTTCGTATGGAAAATACAATAATAAATAACATAAATAACAATACAAGAATAAACTCCATGTTTCACAAAGTCACCTAAAACACCCTGTACACACTGCTCCTCCCCATCCCCACATACACATATATATCTTGTGAGCATAAAGTAAAAATAAGGTTTAATTTGACAGGGATCACAAAATAAGAAACAAAAAAACAAACAAAGCCCAATTTAATTCGGCCTGTCTACCAAAAGAACCCCTCCTTTTCAAAAGCATCTCTAATGCTTGCTTACAGTCACTCTCCTGCCAAGCCTCAAAATTCTCAGTTACCATTCAGCACATGTAATAAGCATTCAGATTATCACAGACCAGATGGGTCACTGTGATAAGATCATGTACAGAATAAACCCAATTGTTAAATATCCTTTATACAGGCAAAAAAGGACAAAACTCCCATATTATCATGATTCTTTTCTGAAGCTAAGATGTTAAGACTAACAATCTGCTGCAATTGCCTGCTGAATTGTCTACAAACAATGAAAGAACATGGCTGTGCTATATAACTTGCTCTCCACTATATTCCTACCCCTTCGTACCAGGACCTGACATACAATAGTACTCAATAAATAAATGGGTTTTTTAATGGAAAGAAATGAAGTTTGAGGACTGCTAATTTACCTCAAAATCATCTTTACGATCACAATTGAGCAAAGGAGCTTTAGAACATATGTTGTAG